CTGCAAGGATGAGGCCCCTGCCTGGTCGACCTCAGGTCCAGGACCACCGGATATTTAGGGCTGGCCCCAATCCATGGCCGGTCCACCTGTAGTGGTCGGAGCTGTGTTGTCAGCAGAGGCACCCACCATGAAGGTGGATGCCTTCTGGCAGCTGAGACGGGCAGCTGAGCCACTTGCTGCTACCTGTGAGTCAGTGTGAGTTATTAGGCACTGTTAGACTACTATGTGTTGGTAGCCTGCATGTGAGTGGACATTTCCGGAGTGTGGCAAACAAAAAGTAACCTCATGCTTGCCCACATGTGTCCACCATACAACCCCAACAGTTTCGGTCAAGATTGAGGTGGACATAGTGCAGCATGCAATGAAGAATCCAACCTTGCACCCCAGTTCACCTGCAATCCTCATTAACACACAGTCTGCACGCCAGAAGCCTGTTAGCTGCCAATGCTGACACACCGACCTCAGTGAGGGCCAGACTGGCTTCGTGGTGCTTGCAGCTGTGCAGAAATGTTCATTGCTCGTCTTCCCTGGCAGCCACAAGCAGCTGCAGGAGTACTGGCAGCTGCAGCAGCTACTGAAAATGGAGAAGATTGGGGAGACCACTTTCAAGGCGTGCCTCTCCAGCAATGGTGGCAGCTTTAAGGCCGTGCGGATCAACCTTGATCTGGGGTCATCCTTTTCATGTCTGAACACACCATTCATGCGGGAGACCAGCTGGTCTGCAGGGCATTGACAAGCACCCCGCCTTGCACATGCACTGGTATGTCACCGAGAAGAAACAGAAGAATGAAACCTCACAGATTGTTCTGTTTGGTGAGGACTTTGCCAGTAGATTCCAGTGATATGCCAGCAGTTGCTTGGTTGTGTTTACAGCACAGGGGGGCCAAAGGAAGGCAGGGGATGATAGAAGGGTGCACAAGATGGTAAGGGAGGGCAATGGACAGCAGAGGCGAGCAAAGGGCGGTTGAGAAGAGCAGGGGGGGCCAAGTGAGGGCAAGGGATGGCAGAGGAGAGCAAGATAGGGTGAGGGAGGGCACAACATTGTGGACCAGCAATTGCTTGGTTCTGTAAAAAGCAGGCGTGAAGATGTTGGGTTGTATGTGGTGGAGCAGGTCACAGGATATGGAGGGAATTATTTAGTTCTTGGGAGGGAATTCAGAGCGATGCCGTAAAATACATATGGCCCTTCATGCACAACAGGCTTTTGGCACTACCTCTTATACTATTTTATACAGAATGTTGTAATATATCACATAACCTATTTCTGGCAGCAGCATGGGCAAGTGCAAGCTCACCAAACACCGCTTCATTGACAAGCTGCCTGCCATACCATACCATATACGGCAATGCTCTCGCGTCCTTCATCAATCATAAGAATTCTGCGGCTGCTACAGAATGGTGGATGTTTGGAGGCCATGTCACGGTGGCTTGGCTTCCAGATGGGGGTTTACAATTCGGAGATTCTTAGTTTGAGACGTGTCGTGATGATTCTCATAGCCCCTTATGCGTGAGAGGGAGGCAGGCAGTGGTGTTGCATGGTTGGGTAGCTTTGCGGGCCGGTAAAATCCCAGGAAATCATCCACAGTACCGTAAAATCTTGGCAAAATCCGCCAGCATGCGGTAAAATACTTCGTTCTGTAAAATATATTAAAATCCATATTTTTGCGGTAAAATCTTTATTTTGTAAAATCTTTAGTTCCACTACAGTAAGTATGTAGGGTTTGGCACTACTCGTAAAACCCTAAGGTATAACCATTGCCCCCGGGAGATCCCGGGATCGATACCCATTAGGGTCAAAGTCCTTCCGATGGTGGAAGGCATTGCATCCCTAGTTGGTGGACGGTGGTGACCTGGGATAAAGTTGATTTGCGATCTGACCAGGAATGGAGTTGGGCTGCTGTTGACCTGGTGCTGGTGGTGGGTGCGGAGAAGTTGACTAGGGTGACTGGATGAGGGTGCCCCGAAATACCGGGGAAGGCAGGGTTTCACAGGGTAGCTACCACAGGCGAAGATACACCCCCCTGTTTCACACATCACACATCATATAACTAGTGCGTATATATGGGGATGGCAGAGTGAGAAAATGCTTACAGGGCTGGGTCCCATTTTCTTAGTTTTGTTCAGTGCTAGATCTACGACTTAACATTGACATCTTGTCTTCTAACCTAAGCTCTGGGCACATGGCTTACTTTAGGTGCAGCAATAGTTGTTAGCTGTCATGTGAGACAGGATGCACATCATTCAACCTTGTGGGCCAGCTGGTGGCTGTAGGGAGATACTCGGGTTGAAACTGCTTGTCAAACATGTTGTGTTTGGTATGCTAAAGTGTGAGGCTCAAGGATGACGTTAGCAATGTAAGCAATGCCATTCCTTTATTGCCCTAAGTTCACTACAGCAGTTCCCATCTGGTAAGGTAACACCTTCCTAATTAGCGAGGTATCATGCATAACTGTTTGACGCTGCTGTTTGAAGCAGTATGGTTCAATTAATCTTACAGAAGCCAGAACATTAGGAGCTGAAGTCGTTACAGAATTCAACAGGGCAAGGGAGGGCAGAGGAGAGCAAGAGACGGCAGAGCAGGGAATTGGAGAGCAAAGGCCGGCAGAGGAGGTCAGGAGGGGGCAAGGAGGTTAAGAGATGGCAGAGGAGGACAGAAGGATGCAGGGAAGAGCAAGGGATGGCAGAGGACAGCAGGAAAGATCAAGTGAGGGCAAGGGAGGGCAGAGGAGAACAGAGGAGAGCAATGGGACAGCAGAGATA